GGGGGGGGGGGGGGGGTATTTATAGGCTTCGAACGTCGTGTTTGTGGATAAGATCTCATGATTTGATCATATCTTTAGTTAATAACGACTTTCTAGCGTTTAAGGATACTCCCAATGTAGTTAGGAAGCCACTGAAATGCACAAATCCCAAGAAATCCATCAGAAAAAATGTTGGGGAGTCCTATTTGTGCGAGACACCTTTTGGTGGACACATTATAGTGTCTCACAAGTTAGACACCTTCTGGCTGTCTTATTTCACCATTTTGTTGATTTGCGCGCTTCGTCATTTCGTCGATTCACGTGTTCCTTTGCTTCCTTTTGGCATTGGATGGTCCTCTTTGACTTAGATGATGACTTTAATCATCTCCTCTTCATCTCGAGCTATGTGCGGGAACCTATAGGTAATTTTTAACACCTACAAATACCCGCCAAAGTTTTTAGCCTCCTTAATATTTATTATTAAGGAGTCTAGAATACTTTGGATAAGATAAATCCAGCCTTCAATTCTTAACTTCTTTAATTTTCATTCTACCGAATAGTCTGAAATTCTTCCGGCACTGCGTTTTGTGGTTTGACCGTTTGTCGAAATGTTGAACTAAAAACTAGTGTGTTGATACCTGAATTAGCTCGTGTCTTCGAATCAACGTTGAACTGATCATCTTCATCAAGAGTTTATATCTGAATTGCGATTGAACTCCCTGGGGGTAATTTTGACCTAAAATTATCCTGAGCCTTATTTTGGTAAAATTATCGACGCGTTGACCGGTATCGACCTTCGTTGCGGCGCGAACACAATTAACCCTTATTTTTGGAGAAATCATTAACATGTTGATCGATGTTGTCTTTTGTTGTGACACGTTGACCGACGTTGACCTTCGTTGTGCCGTGTTGACATTCGTTGCGGTGTGAACACAGTTTATACTCATGCATTAACTAGTGTCTATAAAGTTTAAGCTCTTAAGGTGTTGAAGCGTGGAGAATCAGTTTAAACTCATATACTCATCGGAGTGTCAGGAAGAGCAAGCTGAGAATGTATCAGACGCTCACTAGGTTGAGCTCTTTGTGCGAGATTTGATTGTAGGATCAGCCGTTGGTGCTGATATAGCTATTATCTCTGAAGCTACCCCAGGTGCTTGAGTCACGAGACCAACTAATGAAGCTGGTGCGTCAGTGACTATTAAAGCTGATTTGAAGGTGGAGCTTGTACGAGTTTTGTGAAGAGAAGCTCTCCGAGCTAGGAGAGCGAATCCATCGCCGCAAGCTGCTTATCTAAGTATAATAGGATTTTTGGCAAACCCTCAGCCATCAACGGATTTGATGAGTCTTTACCGACTACTGTTTGAGTCGGGCTAGCATGTGAATTATCTAAGTTCATTCTACATATAACGTTGTGCTAAAAGAATAAACTTTTTTTGACTTAGTGCTACGATACTAAATACATAGACTTTATCATTTTTACGGGAATGTACCACCCGGTAATGCGTGTTAGGTGTAGGCTTATCTCTAATTAGGGATCGAGATAAACTCTCCCATGCGTGGAAGACATGAAAAGTTGTGTCTTCTCTTGGGGCAAAGATGAACCATGTGTTGTCCTTTCTTAGGACAAAGACGAACCATGTTTTGTCTTCTCTTGGGGGCAAAGACGAACCCTGTTTTTTCTTCACTTGGGGCAAAGACGAACCCTATTTTGTCTTCTCTTGGGGC